AGAATGAAATATTTTATTTTGGTGCAAAACATTTTTTAAATAAACGTTTCGTTTTGTTTTCATTTATAGGGTGCATGTGCTCACCATAGAGGCAGAAAGCAAGAAGTCACCCACCAGGAGGATGGCCATGTCACAACCCCTCCTCCATTCTCCTCTTGGTATTTGGGCACACATGCACATGCCTCCGGTGTGAGTTTTAAGCCCTTGGATCTGAGATTTGAACCATGGTCGACTTTGTGGGAGTCCAGCAACATAATCATTATGCCACCTGCTGGTCTCATCCCAGTCTGTTTTAAGCCACCAGGTCTGGAACTTGAACTGCAGTCGATTATGTGGGAGTCCAGCGACATACAGCATCTACTGGCCCCAATAAATGGTTTCTTTGTAATACACATTTCTATAAACTTTTTTTTTGGAGAGGTTTTCTTTTTTTTTTTTTACTATAAGGTGCATGTGCTCGGCAGACAGACAGAGAGATAGAAAGCGAGAAATCACCCCCCAGGGGGGATGGCTACACCGCAATCCCTTCTCCTCTGTTCTCCTCCTGGGATCTCGGGCATGCATGCACACGCGCCTGGCGTGAGTTTTAAGCCACCGGGTCCAGGACGTGAATCGCGGTTGACTACATGGGAGTCCGGCGACATAGCCATTATGCTAACTGCTGGCCCCTTCATTTGTATAAAGTTTTTGAAGCCCCTTTGTATTATAGTTTCTATGTCTCATATATATTAAATAATTCTCTCTATATATATGTGTATATATATATATACACACGTAATTTTATATATAAGTGCTTGAGGCTCTGAGCAGTTGTACAGTTGACAGAAATCTTGGCTCACTACTGCAGAGATGTGCCAGGAATATGAATGCATCAAAGTGGGATCTAGAGAACCATCTGATCCCCAGAAGGGACATGTACAGGAGCTGGAATGGAAGGAATCAGATTTTACAGATGAGAGGGACCTGCTTTCCCAGTTCCCAAGAGGCTGGGTGATTCCCTCAAGGCTCATGCAGGTATTCCAGTGAAGATTCGTTATGGAATCCACTTCCCTTGCTAATTCAGTGCCATTTCCACCTTGCTCATGGGTCTCTCTTAGGAGACAGGGAAAAAACCAGAAATTAATCTTAATTCTTCAAGGTGAAGTCTTGGAGAGACTAGGAATGTTAGAGAGCATTGACTGAAACATTCAGAGAACCTAAGACTGTGAAAATAGGAGGTAGGGGTAGGCCCCCGATATTGTCACTAAGCAGTCTTACAATAGAAAGGAGATGAATGTTACAGACGAAAGCCTGTGCCAATCACCAGCGACCACACACTCACCTCACCTGTTTAGGTGCCTGTCAGGTCTATGCTGGTGTTTGGATCACCATATGATCTTTTGTTCCATGATATTTATGCATTCTGGCAAAGGAGTTACAAAGAGAATTTCTCCCAAACCAATTCTGATTTGTTATTGTCTTCCACTATAAATGAAGGATTATACTTGGGGATTTTGGTTGTAGAATTTTGATGAGCAAGTGTTTTAGCAGTCAGTCCTATGCAGTTTGACTGCTGGTTCTATGGATCCAGGAGGTTGTTAAATTCATCTAGCAGTGCATTTCTTCCATTACTGTCTTCCTTCCCACTTCCCTAGACCACAAGAACTTCTCTCATGCCTAAGGATTCTGGATCAGTGTCTGTCTTAGTGGTCTACCATCTTCCCCAGGCTTTGGTGGTGGTGGTGGTTGTGGGGTACTCACCAAGGTACATAGAGGGAGACTTGTAAGCCTGCATTCTGTACTTCATTTGGCATATTCCATGAGCTCCTGGCTTTGGGCTCATAAAAGGATTCATTTCCCAAATTCAGTCACTGAAACATTAGACATCCAATTCCTTACGCAGCTCTCTTGGGGATAAGCACTGCTGGGCCTTTCTGCACAGCTCAAGAACTGAATGCACCATCCTCTCTCTTGTCCCTGGCCATGTTGGTTCAGCTTATCTTGGCCTCTCAGATCCTATTTTGACAAGCATCTTGCCACCTTCATACTAACAATAAAAAGCAATTAAGGTGCAAATAGATCAGATTTTCTCACAGACACTCTTCTATTGTATGTGAGAAACACTGTTCTTTTAAGAAATTCAAATTACTTTCAAGGTCTTTGAATTTGTCTTTTCATTCAGTGTGAGTGCTCCTGGATAAGTACTCAGGTGGAATACCCCACAACCACACAGCTTCCAAAGCAGTTATTCTGCTGCTGTTGAGTCTGGGCTCAGCCTTACTTCCTTGGAGTTTCAACCCTAGCACACTGCCTTGCTTACGGTCATAAAGGGAGGATGGCCTTCCTTTGGAAGTGTCTATTTTCCTGATAAGAGTCTTGGTTGGCAAGAATTTTTCAGTTAACTATAGGAGGCTGCTTTATAGGCAAGATATATATATATTTTTTTCTTTTTTTAAAGGAATTATTTAATTTTATTTATCATCATTATTGTTACTATTAAATTTGCTATAGGGTACAAGTACACACCAGAGACAAAAAGGGAGAGAGGTGAGGAAGCAAGCCACCAGGTCCAGGACTCAAACCAGTTAGCCATGTTGGAGTCCAGTGCCTTAACCACCATGACACCTGTTGCCTCCCTCCTTTTTTTTCCTTAAGAAAAAGTTTGCAATGTGTGACAGAGACAGCAAAAAAGGGAATTTAATACTTGGAAACACCAGAAAACATCCTTTATTTATTTTTAATTTTGCCAGAGGGCTGGACCAGCAAGTAGTGTGGTGGTTAAAGCAATGGATCCCACACAGCCAACTCTGAGTTCTGGACTTGACAACTTAAAAAAACATACAAGGTGCGCGTGTGTGCGTATACCCAAAATCTCAAGAGAATGAAGAAGGGATTGCAGTGTGGCCATCCTCCCAGGGGGTGGGTGATTTCTCACTTTTTTTCTCTCTCTTCCCCTCTGGAGAGCACACACACCATATGCCAAAAAAATCTTAAAAAAAAAAAAAAAAGTGGCCCAAGGGTACAAGTGCTCCCCAGCGAGACAGAGGGAGGGAGAGGGTGAAAGCACCTACCCCAGTGGAGTGTGTTCATACCACAATCCCTCCTTTTCTCCACCCTGTTGGGATTCTGACATGGGTGCACGCTCACACACAGAAACACACACATGGCCTGGGCGTGTTTTTCAATCCACATGGTTAGCCACGTGGGATCCAATTCTCTTAACTGTCAGGCCATGAGCTGGCCTAGAAAACATCCTTTCTTTTAGAGTTGTGTGTAACGTTGTCATTGCACTGCTCTCTCAGTTCCAACTAATAAAAGTGTCAGTTCCAGGATCTCATTATCCTGAGTTCCTATAAGCCTGGAGACCAAGCAGATAACACCTTCTACCCTAGAGTTCATTGTCTAGATGTGATCTTTGTTCCAATACCTAGAAGTAGTAGTGGCCATTGACACTGTGGAGTATGGCAGGCTTCGAATCGGCTTTCCAACTAGGCAAGAATTAAAACAGGAAAGACATAGAAGAGGAGAGGTGTCTAAGCACCCAAGTCTTCCCTGGAAGAGAAGAGGAAGACAGGAGGAGTGAATAATAGGTTTATTTGCATATACACAGGAGAAGAGTTAACCTTTGCTGGGTGAAAGAGGCCGGGCTGTGAGGAGGTAAGGCTTCAGCAGAGGAAGGCACCTTGACAGACAGACAAGAGACTCGCCTTATTAATCCAGCACAGTTGCAAACTTCATTTGCCCCAAACCAACTCATTTCTCTCATTTACTTGTCCTAAAGAATCATTTACCAAACGAGATGGAAAATAAAGTGGAGAGAAACAGTTTGACCTATCTGGACCTGCCATTTAAACTTTATGCACAGGATGCAGAAAAAGAACAGGCACTTCCAAATAATTCTTTACCTTACCAGTGCCATCTGCCCTATCATGGAGGAATGTGAGGATTCCATGGACCTCCAAAACTGGGGCCTGAATTCCACAAGAGTTTAGGCAAAGGGACCCTGGGAGTTGTTCTTGCCAGGTTTCCAGGACCATGACCACAGACGGAAGATCTCTGGAAACGAGGGTGGAGTGGCTACAGAAACAAGCATTGCTTGGCCTGCTCCTGTGTGTATCTCAGGGCCAGATGAACCTGGGATGCCGGGAAGAATCTCTCCCAAAGATAGACTGTTACCTTGTCAAAAGTGATCTTCCTTTTCTAAAGTTAACCAGAATGAACACTGACTTCTCTTTTGAGTATCCAAATGAGATAAAGGCTTTAAATAAGTAAAAGACCAATTTCTGCACTTGGGAAATTTAACTACCAAGTAGCTAGTTCTCAAGGGAATTTTAACTACTTCTTTTCTCCAGGAAGATATATGGATTATCTTTAGGGAAGTCAGAAGTCGCTACCTGCTGATTAGACTGAAATCAAATAGGATATAAAGATTGGTTATACTGACTAAGAGAAACACACACTGAATGATTATATATTTTTTGTATATAAAGGATTAAAAAATTCCAATTTAATACATTTTGGAAAAGCAAATGTAAAATGACTTGGGCTTATAAAACCAGAATTTACAATTATCGGTGAATAGTCAAAAGACAAATCATAGAACCATTTCGATTACAAATCCAGAGTAATTCTAATGTTGGTTACAGAATCACTTTCTCGCTCCCCCAGTAAGAGTCCAGCTGATTAATTGTCCACATCCCCACAGCTACTCACACTCCTTCCTTTCCTCCTAAAAACAGTGTTTTCATTACCCCAGTCACATCACACATGCTAGGCACCTCTTCCCTTTCACAATGCTGAGCAAGATGACATCTCCTTTTGGCTTACGTCCCTCCTTTTATAAATACCCCCCTCCCCAGCTTTATCCAAGTCTTTAGCCTCCACCTTGGTCTCCCCCTGGTCCCAGTTCCAGCACGACAGGTCCTCTTCTAAAAGGAAAGCTGCATCAGTGAGGCCAGAAATCAAATAGGATATAAAGATTGGTTATACTGACTAAGAGAAACACACACTGAATGATTATATATTTTTTGTATATAAAGGATTAAAAAATTCCAATTTAATACATTTTGGAAAAGCAAATGTAAAATGACTTGGGCTTATAAAACCAGAATTTACAATTATCGGTGAATAGTCAAAAGACAAATCATAGAACCATTTCGATTACAAATCCAGAGTAATTCTAATGTTGGTTACAGAATCACTTTCTCGCTCCCCCAGTAAGAGTCCAGCTGATTAATTGTCCACATCCCCACAGCTACTCACACTCCTTCCTTTCCTCCTAAAAACAGTGTTTTCATTACCCCAGTCACATCACACATGCTAGGCACCTCTTCCCTTTCACAATGCTGAGCAAGATGACATCTCCTTTTGGCTTACGTCCCTCCTTTTATAAATACCCCCCTCCCCAGCTTTATCCAAGTCTTTAGCCTCCACCTTGGTCTCCCCCTGGTCCCAGTTCCAGCACGACAGGTCCTCTTCTAAAAGGAAAGCTGCATCAGTGAGGCCACACTAGCCACATATGAGGCCATCCCTGTGCCAATCCCAGCTGGGCTCCTAGATATCTAGCACCTTTGTGCTCCAGAAAATTACACTGTTTTTCTCTCTCCCTAACTCATTTCTTGTCAGTATTCTGCCTTTTCATGACATCTACACCAACAAAATATCTGGTCAATCCTATGTCTTCCTGTCTGGTACAACCTTCAATGATAACTGAGTGACTACAATGGACACTGCAACACTACAAATTTCTGGCCTTTTCCTCTCTCAATTTTTATCTATCCCAATGAAACTGGGTCTCTTCTGGGAGCCAGGAGTCTTAAACTAGAAGCCCTTCTTCCCACCCCTCTGGCCCCTAACGGACCTACTCTTTAAGACTTGGTTACTTTGAGATGCCTACTGCTCGGTGGTCTAGTTAGAACACGACAGCCTCTGCCAACTGCAAGTCTGAGGGAAGACGCCAGTCCCACTTCTGACCAACGGATTTGGGTTGAATTAAACAAATATAGTACCGCATTCTGCTCTTCACTATACTTCCTCATCAACACACCTATAACATCCACTTTAGTAGTCTGAACATAAGGCTCTTAAGAGCTGTCTTTTCTGCTTCTTTCAATATGCCCAGACCCCATCACATGGAGTCGAGTACCTGCTGGCCTTCTGCGTGCCTCTTAGGAGCTAGCACCTAACTGGTTAGAGTGTGCCATCCGTGCCTAGTCATAGTTTATGGCCTCCACACAATACATGTCGCAGCACCGCTCAAATCTCAAACAGTGAAACTGAACGGGGGTCTATGTTCTCTTAATCTAATCTTAAGTGCTGACCTCTCACTAGCATTTAAAATGTTCCACTTTTATTGTGTCCACATTAAATGCTTAATGAAGAGGTACTCATAGAAAACATGGAAGATTTCTTTAAGAAAGGAACCATGCTTTCCTCGCTAGCACAGCCAGTGGGCTGAAGGCCTGATTCCACTCTCTCCATTCCTCCCATAGACATCTACAACTCACTGGCAGCACAACCTGACTGAACAGGAACTCATCATGAAGACCAGAACACCTATGGCAGTAAACAGGGTGAGATGGCCAAAAATACAGATCCATAGGCCATTTCTGTTGGAGAACTACGAGGTCTTATGAGACAAGGTGTTTACACATGCCAGTGTACACACACGCGAGCACAAGTCAAACAAAGGTTTCCTTTCACAGAACCTTGCACAGGGGCACTGTGCTGAAGCCTCACTAGAAAGGAGTCACTTGGATTTTTTTCCCCCCTTTCTTAACACATACAAGTCATCGGCTAGCTAGACATTCAGACCCATTGTTGGATGTTGAATAGAAGGGAGCAGCATCAGACACAAAATTTCAGGCCCTGGTTTTATGTGCCTTTAATACTTGTTTTTCCTTTCCTGTGTTCACTAAACAGAATTTTTTTCATAAGGCTACTTTTTCGTAGCTTTTTGTTTCCCTTCGTTTTTATCATGTTTTTAATTTCTTCTCTGAGGAGGAATTCTCTGAATCTGTATCTTCCAATTCAACCCGGTGCCTTTTGAGGCCACTGTGGCCATGAACAGCCCTGCTGTCTGTGGCTGGGGGCTCAGTGGGGTCCTCTCTCATTCCAGCACTGGGGCTCTCACAGGCCATTTCAGACCCACAACAATCTTTGTGCAGGGGTGTCCCTGTCAGGGGAGAGTTATCATGGTCAGCGTCTGAATGTCCTGGGGAAGAGCAGGCCACTGCCTCTAGTTCCCCAAAGTTCTGCCCATTGTTGTGAGGGTGAGGGGGGCGTGGGTGTAAGCGTCCATTGTTGTGGTTGGCACAGATGGTTTCGAGGCTCCTCTCCTCATTGTCATCAGATTGGGTCCGGGGACAGTTGCCAGATCCGCTGCTGAAAGTGGAGCCAGATGCCTTGGGTACAGGAGGAGAGGGTGGCTCCTCAGCCCGGCTGTTCAGGGCCTTGCTCAGGGCCTTTCCATTGAGCTTCTTGCTTTCAAAAGTGTGTTCTACAGAGCCACCATTATTAGTGTCCTGAGAGGTGCCCTCTGGCACCTCTGCCCAAGGATGGTTGCTATGCTCACGGCCAGAGCCATTGCTGGGATTTCTAGAAGTCCCTTCTTTAAAGGTGTCCTTGCTGCAGCCTTCAGGGGGCAGGTCCTGGTTCCTCTGGGCCATGGCTGTATTTAGACAAGCTTCCTTACTAGAGGAAGGGGCTGGGTTATCTTTGTGGCTGGTTCCCGCTCTCCCTTCATCTGCCTCCCTGGCCACTAGGGAGGTCTCTCCATCTTTGTTATTTGAGTAGGAGATATAGGAGTAGCGGAGCCACTTGTAAGCTTTATAAATCTTTCGCTCAACTGATTCGATGTCAGAAGTTGGCGATGCTCGGCTTGGCTGAATCTCCAGAGTGGAAGTGCTGTGCTCAGGAGAGGAGGTGGGGGAGGAGGAGAGGTCATCCACTTTGATCTGGGGGTAATCATAGTTGTCTTCTCCGATGTAGGTGTTGGTGGGCTTGACTGGGGCGCTGGGCCTCTCTTCTCGGGGTGTCTTCTGGCGGCGCCGCATAGCGTTCCGCTGCCGAGTGGAAGTGCGGCGTTCATTCAGCTCCTCCTCGTCCTCTGAGCTACTGGAGCTGCTGGAACTACTGGAGTCATCTTCAGGGCTAGGCGACCGTGGCCGGGGAAAGAGATCTGTGTCCAGCTCAACCTCGCAAGCATTCTCTTCAGAATCAGACTCGTTGGAAAGGGCCAGAAGGCGTTTGTCCTGGTAGCGCCGCAGAGCAGACAGGCGCTGCTGCCGAGACGCTGTATCCTCACATGTGGGTGTAGGTGGAGCTGATGCCACTGCACTTGTGGTGGTGACCCGCAGGGGCCCCAGGTGGAAGGCATTGTCAGCAGACTCGTCGACTGTGGGAGGTGGAGAGCGTGGCAGTGAGGCTGAGGACTCAGAGTCAGTGTAGCCCGAGCGCTCGCTGACTCCTGCATGCAGCTGGAGGATAGTACTCTCACTGAGGTCACTGTCCGAGTCAGAGCTCCAGCCCTCAATCTCTCGGCGGACCAGGGAGTCAAAGAAGGCCATCATCCGGGGGTCTTCCTGGACCGACTGGTTGGCATAGTCATGAGACAGGCCACTTCCACTGTTTAGCACAAGGCTGATATACTCTTCATGGGTATAGAGGCAGCGGGAGTCATCCTCTATCCGACCATCGAGGTCTCCAGTACATCCTGGCTGCTTGTATGGACTCCAGATCTGCATGGAGGATGAAAAACAAAAGCAACAGGACTGACTGGAAGTATTCTAGAGCTGGCAGTGATAAAAAACAGCAAGGAAAGCTTCCTCAGACCTCTGTCATATAGCCAGGACATGCTAACCAACTTTAAAAATATGTTCTTTACCAGACTGGATTATATGGGATGCATATGAAATCCAAGGCTTCCAGGGGCAAGTGTATAAAAAAGCATGGTTTAGAACAGTATTTGCCCAGTGTAAAGCCCTGTCTCTGAGTGCAGGGGAGACAGTGACTCCCTTACAATCTCCCTCCCCTTCAGTTTCTTCTATTAGTTAAATTATTGGAAGTTATAATCATAATCTCAGAGGATGTAGAAGGATTTAAAGATGGGCCCATATTTTTAAAACTCCCGAGAAGACCAAAGTTGTGCACAAAGAGGTACCATCTTTCCAAAGTGAAAACGGACCCAGCAGTCAGTTCTCTGCAACAGTTATTATTTCAGCCTATAGCTCTACTTCTTTCCAACGGCAACATTTCTATTTTTAACGAATGGGGATTGCTTACTGGAGCTCGATAAGAATAGCCAGCTGCCTACACTGCAGTTCCTTCTTGGACACACAGGAATCAGTTACCCAGGAAACGGGGTTCTCTTAACCAGGAGCTACTAGCCTGCTCCCCAACTCTTTTGTTAGCTGCAGAAACCAGTAAGACAAATTCCAGTTCAATCCTTTAATACTCCTGCACTCCAAAGTCAAAGACATGGGCTCACAGCTAAAAGGCAGCAGAAGTAGAGTTCAAACTCAGGTCGATCTGATTCAAGAGCCTGACTTTACAGGTTGGATAAGTTATGCAAAAAATCAAGCTTAAGATAATTAAGCTATCATTGCAAATGAGAAAACTACTTCCACCTGACTGCCAGACTGGTCCACAGAGCAGCATGGAAAAGCTCAGTTACATTAGCTGGTAGCTATGGCAACTCAGATGAAATTTCAGGTGATTTTCTTGCCTGATAGGCTGGTGTCTATCTTTAGATGGCACCCAACCCAGAAAACAGTGGCCACTCATTCCTATCCTCCGCTGAGACAAAGACTTTGTTTCCCCAAAGCTACCTAAGGACAAATTCAGCTCTCTGTAGAACTTTTCTGAGACTCATTCCTGCCATGCGTTACTTGGCCATTTCCTGGAAGGTGTTGTCTCTTTGGAGAACCCCCAGTTCAAAAGAGGCTGAAGAAAAGGTCTAGATCAGCTTTTCTTCACCAGTTCCCAGCTTAGATTCATTCTTCATCCAACTTTGCTCCCTGCCCATAACTCCACAGATGTTTTCCCCTCCCCAGCTTCATAATTTTACCCAGGAACATTTTAAGACAGTGGTTCTCAAGCTTTCCAATGCAAGAGAGTCACCTGAAGAACAAACACAACTTTAACTCCTGAGCCCCACTCTTACAGATGATGATTAAGTAAGTCATGGAAGGTACCATAACTTTGCATTTTTGACAAGCACTCAAGGGGTAAGTGAGTGGACCAATTTTTAAAAATAAAGCATTTATCTGAAGGGATTCTCATTTTCTTTCTTTTTCCTTCTAGACAAGGCCTTGCCATCATGATCCTTCTACTTCGGCCTCACTGAGTCCCTGGGTTAAACAGGTGCATGACACCAAGCTTGCCTTTAGGGAAGCATGAACCTGAGCCTGCTGTGTGGTCCCAGCCTGAGAAGCACAGCGTATATCTTAGCAGCATACACCATGTGGCTGGGCCCCTCACATTCTTTTGAGATCTGATGTTTGGGAAATCTCTAGACATGGTCTCCGGCACAAGGCTCAAGCTATCAGCAAACAGATGTCTGAGGGAACAAGAGTGAGGTGGCTTAGAAAAGAAGCTGAGGGGTCCAAAAGGCAAAGCCCCTGGGGTATTTTGGGGGTCTTATTCTTAATTCTGAACCAGATCTCTTACCTTACCAGTCCAAAAATGGTAAAATGTTATTAGCCATGTCCCTAATACAAAGATAAATCTATTTGTTCTTCATAGAAACCCAGAATTTGTTAACAAAAGTACAAAATAATGGTGAGATGCTGGCCTCTTCACTTGCCAAGCCAGTTTTTAGGTTCTAATCTATTACTAACCAGCTACCCACAATCCCCTTCAGGAATGAAAATCATAACATTGAAAGTCAGCTTTTGTTTGGGCTCTGGAACATATTAAGCTGAGGTAGACTGTTCATTCCTGAAGCTTGGAGTAATGGAACTAAACACAGGATTCAGAGGCAGGAGACTTGAGTGTGGGTTCCCACTCAACTCCTGGCTAGCTGGTGACCTTGGGTGAAGCTCAGTTTCTTCATCTACTGAGTTGTCGGGAAAGTCATGACACATTTTTGCATAGAAAGACATAGAGAAAGATGTCATGAGTTTCCCAGTGACCTAATAAGTAGCAAATTAGGCAGGTCTCATTCAAGTCTAAGATTCAGAGCAAAACAAAATCCCCCTCACAGACAGCCAGTCTTTAATCCTCAAAGGAGTCGCAGTACAGAGCTGTAGGAATAGGTAGGACAGGTAGGAACCCCAGCCCCAGAGCAAATGACTTCACCCTTGAAAGAACCTGTTTCTCATCTGCGGAGATGAGAATGGGAGAATGACACAACCTACACCACTAACTGTAGTGCTTTCTCTTTCATTTGGCAATTGAATACCTCAACCTGAAATATTTTAAAACCACCTTCAGGGAGAGTTCTGAACATCAGAAGTACTCGCTGTCCCTATATATTGGTCCTCATTCTTAAAATATCCATTTTTAACATTTGTGAAATTGTTCATTTAATACTGTAAGTCAACCATTCAGAAGTGAAGCAATAAAAAACAACCCCCACCCCTACCCCATTACATGATAAATGGGCCTCCTGTGGGGCAAGGTTTAGGAGAAAAGGAGAAGCAATGGGCAGCTTCCTCTCAGAGCCTGGTGACAAATAAAGCTCCAAGTGCTGCTGAGTGAAAGGATGCAGCTCAATTCTTACTCAATCATCATCAAAATGGAAAGCAATTCAATGACAGGTGTTTGAGTGACATAAGTAACCATGACACACTTGATGTAGCAGGTCTAAGCTCTCTTCTCTCTTTGCACTATTACACTGAATTTATAAGTTTGTCCATCCTCTGATGGACCATGCACATCAGGTCCTAAATTATCATTTGAGGGCTTGCCACACTTTATGATCTGGCTCCTAAGACCCTGTGAGCCTGCCTCCAGCCCCCCTTTTCTAATCTAGTCCTTTCTTCTTGTCCTCTCACTTTTACCCAATACGATCACTGTCTGCATGGGTCCTATCTTTCCTACTCTGAGCGTTTACTCACAAGCACAAGACCTGGCACTTGGTAGGTGGTGAACAAGTATTTGCTGATCCAACAGAATAAATATATATTCCTTCTACTTGGAATATTTTCCTTATCTTATTCCCTTCTTTCCTTTTGAAGTTTTTATCCATTCTTTAAAATCTAGCTCAAGCCAGCTGCAGTGGCACAAGGGGGCACAACTCTCTGTGGTACTGAGGCCACACAGGAGGGTCTCAGGTTCACGTTCTTGACGTCTTCCTCAGGAAGCATATATACAGGCCCATGATCTAGGTTGGGTTAGGGGTAGGATCGCACGGTGAAAACTCTGATGGGGATGCCCGTCTCTCCCCATCTTTCACCTCCCTCTCTCATGGAAGAAATGAAAGCACTTCAAAAACAATCCAGCTCAAATATTAACCTATACAGATGAGAAAGCTCTCTCCCTCCTCACAGAGCACTTTGTCATATATCTTGTGCACCGATGCATTTCTCATTATCTTCATCTCTTGTCCCTCCTCCTAGGTCACTGATTCCTAGGGAGACTTGTGTCACCTTTTTTCATCTGCATTCTCCATAGAGCGTCGCACAAACAGCACGTGGTGGGTATATCACAGATAAGAAATTGATAAACAAATATCTTTGAGGTAAAAAATATCAGAATCTGTCCCACCTCTCCTGCTACCTAACATGTTTAACTACAAAATGAACCCACTATTTTGGTAAGTGTTGGCAATGAGGGGGAAAGAAGACCTGTTGTGGGTGGGAAGAGGCTGGCCCTGATGACAGGGACTTTTCTCCTTCCAGCTAGAAGTTGGTAATAAAGGATAGAACAGAGAGGAAGTGGAGTGGGCAGAGAGATAAAGAGACAAAAGCAGGGGCCAAGAAATGGTTGGTGATTAAGGCATTAGATTCCTATATGGCCAACTGCAGTTTGAGTTCCAGATCCAGTGACTTCAAAATCATGCTGAGAACGTGTGCACGTGTGCCCAAAACCCCAAGAGGAGAATGAAGAAGGGACTATGGTGTGGCCATCCCTCCTGGGGGAAATTTCTTACTTTCCTTCCCTGTCTCTCTCTGGTGAACGTACACTCTCTACGACCACCCCCCCTCCCCACCCTACTTCCCCCCAAAAAAAGAGAGAGAGAGAGAAACAAAAGCAGGTCTCAGGCTGGATTAGAGCCTGGTAGGTGATGATCTTTGTGCCACTTATCCTCTCAGAAATAGCAAGCAGTAAAATGATACTAAAAATAGTCTGAAGATTTCAGGCACAGATAATTCACAAGGCACTTCTAGGTGACAAGTCACTGCTAGCATCCTCACTTTACAGAAAAGGGACAGACCCAAGGGTGCTGAGACTCATTGGCCTTTTGGGATGCTGTAAGCACAGGCAGGGGCAGTAATCCCAATAGAGGAGGCCAGCAGCGTACTTGGTCTCATTCATCTCCTTTCTACCCCGCTTCCTGCAATGCTTAGCGCCACATCATTCTCAGCCAGACTCTGAATGGAGAAGATATCTGTGAGAAAGCAAGGCTGAGAACTCCAAAGCCTTTTGCTTTACCTCTCACTAAGGTCATCTGTACAGACTTAAGGCTTTTCAAATGGCCAAAAATGCCCCCTACTGGAATAGGGTTCCGATCCCTCGGGAGTCTGGTAGCAGTGAACTGCACATCAGTCTGGATGACCTCATGGAGAAAGCATTTTCTTCCCTCTCTCCTCTGAGAATTTGGCTAGTTTCCAATCTATGACCTTTAGGGTAAGGACTTTAGTTAACTAAACAATAACTAGGGAGACTTAGCGCAGAAGCATCCCAGAGTACACAGCCAAACAGGGATTTCTCTTCTAAAGGAGATGCCCAAGCAGAGAGCTTTCTGAGAAGGAGAATGACGTCAACTGGCCTAGAAAGAACGTGTTACAGTGCCAACCCATTAGTCACAGGCCAAAGGAGAGGGTAAGCAACTCAAAGGACCTGGCCATTTTGACGACTCCCCGTGTGAAGGACTACTGAGCTGCTCAGACCCAGTGGGGGCATCCAGCAGGGCGAGCATGGCCGCTGTCGGGTGTGCTGGGAAACAGAGGACAGGGCTCTGGCCTAGCTTCACCACTAATTAGCTGTGTGACCTCGGACAGTGATTTATAACTTAAATCTCATCAACTGTAAAAAGAAAAAGTCAGTAAAAATGATCTGAAAGTCCCAGTCTAGCCCTACGGGAAAATGTGTGCAGTCATGAAAGTCAGCCCTAGACCAACAAAGCCTAAAAAAAGGAAGTTGGACTAAGGGCAAAAAAAAAAAAAAAAAAAAAAACCACATTGACCCACATGCCAATATTGTACTTATGATAGCTGCCTTCTGCCATCAAATACAACTAGATTTAACTCTGGCGAAAGAAAGAGAGAAAGAGAGAAAGAGAGAAAGAAAGAAAGAAAGAAAGAAAGAAAGAAAGAAGAAAGAAAGGGAAAGAAAATGACAATTACTAAATTGCCATAAACAGATTTTTATATTTTCTCTGAAACCTCCCTCAGGTTTTCAATGTCATTTTAAGAAAAAAAATAGAAGAACTTTAACTTTTGGCAGGAAAGCCCTCTACCCTTACTTAAAAGTTAAGTTAGCCACAAGGGTATCAAGAATTCACCATTTTCCCTGAATTCTCATTTCCTCAGATGCAGAAAGAGGTTACTAATAACTAGAATGTGAATGACGGGCACTGGGCCATCCTTCCATGGACACAGCCAGGCTGGGTCCCTCTGTCGCAGTTGTAAAAAAATTCCTTGGCAGAGGTAAGTTCGTTCAGCTGATGTGCAAACGATTAAAGTAGTTGTTATTCACACCCAAGTTGCTTCAATCACAACTATGTGCAGTAGTATTTTGATATTAGGTTGTTGGAAAAGTCATGAAGTATTTTTCTATGCAAAAATGAGTCATGACTTTTCCAACCCAATATATCCTAAAACAATTTAGCTACTGTTCTGGCAATCACTTAGTCTTAGCTGTGCCATATTAGGACAGAATTTAACGCATACTGTGCAGTTAGTAACTGAGGGGATAAGTGGCTGGCTCTTCTAACCTCCAGATGAGGTTTGGAGAGCAGAATTCATCATAGTCATGATCAAAGGCCACTGGAAATGTAGCAGCACACAGGTCGTGACTAGAAGATGCCCTCTGGCTCAAAATCCAGTGATTAATTAAAAAATGGTTCTAAAAGGAGGGTTTTAAACCACCTTTCAATAAACTTTCCAATATGTTATAATATGTCAAAATCATTGAGGATTCTAAAATAGTTTTAGTATGTTTACATATGCAGTCCTGCATACATTGCTTCTAATTTCTTCTAATTATGAACTGTAAAGATAACTAAAAGGGCAGAAGGAGAGTGTCTTACCTTGATAATCTTTTCTACACCAGAAGAACAAATCATGTAGGTGTGTGGATTAAATCGGACCTGGTTAACAATAGACCGATGCCCCTTCAGCACCATGAAGGCTCCATTGACCACCCTACCAATGCCACCTGGGAAGACAGAAGGAAACAAAAATCAAACAATGGAAAATAAATAGTTCTATAATAGTAATGGCAGACAAATAGCTCTGAACAGAAGCTGAGATTTTTTTATTACCTATACCACCAGCAGAACACAATCTCACAGATAAAGTTGCTATGGAAAGAAGAAAAATGAAACACCTCTCAGCATATGTGCTCTTACCAAGCAAGAGCCTTTATTTAGCCTTTAAGCATTACCCACGTCCACCCACTGCAATTCCATTGTCAATGAAAGCAAAGCCACTTAAACATTTCTTAAGTTTTTGATCCTCAAGATAGAATTCAAATGTTACCTTAGAAAAGGCCAATCATGAGCAAAATGAGACTGAACTGCTTGGGAATAGTTAGGCAGCTGAGCTAGGGAAATGCAATGCCACAGGTATATAATGACTTAAATGCACACACACACACAGAATCTCTGATCCATTTGCCCTCAATTTCTATGATGAAGATAGCAAACAAAGAAAACAAACAAACCAACAAAAATAGAACCACTGGGGAAATAATGGATAAAATCCTTTTTACCCCTGACAGCAGGGAGAACTAAAGGATAAAGAAAGAGATTTGAATCACTTTCATAACAAACAGTACCCCAAGTACTGAGAATATGAATTAGAGAGTAAGCCTTACAGACACCATGCGTGATTTACAGTCATGAGGCCACTGATAGAAAACTGTGGGGGTTTTTGGTTTTGTTTTGTCTTTCTTTTTAAAGAAGTTTTTGTCTTAGGGCACGTGCGCTCACTGAAGAGAGAGAGACAGCAAGAAACCACCACCCTCCTCATGGACTGCGGCATGGCCTCAATCTCCATTCTCCTCCCAGGTTCGTAGGCATGTACACACATGAGCCCAGTGTGATTTTCAAGCTACCGGGTCCGGGACTTGAACTGCAGTCAGTAATGTGGGAGTCCAGCGATATAACCGCTACACCATCCACTGGCTCTGAAAGCTGTGTTTTAAGAGCCATCCCTATAGGTTTTTTCCTGCAGTGAATAAGAAAAGTACCAGAGGCCTGGAACTTATAACATGGATAAAGATGTCATTATTCACAAACCTGGGATAAACTCAAAGGTTCAACCTCACTGGTGAGGGTATCACACCTAAACAGAGCACACACACCCAAGTTCTGGACAAGGTTACTTCTGAGCAATCATCAATAGCTCTGTATGCTCTGGGCAACTTGTACCCCTAGCCAACTGGCAAAATGTGATGCACCCAAAGAAATAAGTGTCTATTTAGTCAACAGTAACCTCTTAATCTCTCCCAAGAACTGTGTATTATTAGGGTATGAAAAATCATTAAGCCAAGTCTATTCCACATGCCTCCACTCCTTTCCCAACTCTACCCTGTTCACACATTCATCCCAAACATGTCTCAGTGTCTCAGTGTCTGGAGGGAAAATGAGTAGAACAATGTCCCTTTCTCAGAAGTAGAGTTCTAAAGGTGTCTTCTACTCTGACTTCCTGACCCAACTCCTCCTTTGCCCATGAAGAGATTCCCTCCTTACTGCCAGGTACATAATTTTTTTTTTCCGAGAGGTTTTTGCTATAGCGCACATGCAAGAAATCACCCCCGGGGGGATGGTCACGCCGCAATCCCTTCTCCTTCATTCTCCTCTTGGGATCTTGGGCACGCACGCACACGCGCCTGGCATGAGTTTTAAGCCAATGGGTCCGGGATGTGAACCGCGGTTGACTACGTGGGAGTCCAGCGACATAGCCATAATTTTGGCTGGTCCCCCATAATTTTTTTTTCATAACAGCAAAAAGTTTCAGATTGTACCAAACTGCTCCTTGGTGACTGATGCCAACTTAGTCCCAATTCTAGTGCTACTATTTGGCATGCAATAAAAATGTCTTTTGTCAAGATTTTTCTCCATATTTGACATTATTAATAATTTTTTTTTAAAAAAAAACAAGAATTAAAAACTAAGTCAATATAGTATAACTATTTACATAGTATTTACATTGTATCAGGTATTATAAGTAAAGATGATTTAAGATATATAGGAGGAGATATATAAGTTAAATGCAAATACTATGCTTCTTTTTAAAGTATATTTATTTATTGAGAGAGAGAGAAAGACAAACACTTCCAATAGGCTCTCCAGCTGCTACACCCTCCACCCCAGCTTTTCTCAACCAGCTAGAATTACAGATGTGCATGCCTGGCATGTACAGGCCAATGTGGGAGTTGAATTCCAATCTTGCATATGCATTCCACTGCAGAATGCTGTGCTACCAGCCCTGTGTGCTGGGCCTATTATGTCATTTTATTTATTGATTTTTTTTTTTGGAGAGATTTTTGCTATAGGGAGTGTGTGCTCGCTGGAAAGACAGAAAGGAAAAAATAACCCACTAGGGGAGACGGCACACTGTAATCCCTTCTCCATTCTCCTCTTAGAATTTTGGACATACATACACATGTGCCTCGTATGATTTTCAAGCTGCAACATAAGACTCAAACCACAGTCAACCATGTGGGAGTCCAATATCTTAACCACTATGCCACCTGCTGGCCCCACTATGCCATTTTATATAAGGGATTTGAGCACCCAGAGTTTGGTATCCTATGGGTCCTGGACCCACTCCCCAACAGATACCAAGGGATGGCTGCATCTAAATTGTCCAGATGGATAGTACACTCAAAGTTATTTATATCTCAGCCAAACAACATCAAGTTCACTAAAAAAGAAAGAAAGAAAGAAAGAAAGAAAGAAAGAAAGAAAGAAAGAAAGAAAGAAAGAAAGAAAGAAGTGACTAGCTGCGACTAGCAGTGGACATAATGGCTATGTCGCTGGACTCCCATGTAGTCAACCATGGTCAAGTCCCAGACCTGGTGGCTTAAACATGCTGGGCACGTGTGCGTGCATGTCCAAGATATGGAGAGGAGAATGAAGGAGGAGGGACTGCGGTGTGGCTACCCCTCATGGGGGGTGATTTCTCACTTTCTGTCTCTCTGGCGAGTGCACACACCCTATAACAAAAACCTCTCTCACACACACACACACAAAGCCCCTTATCTCAAAAATATAATAAAGAAAGGAGTGACTAATACACAGAATTGGTGGATTTTTAATGGAGGATCAGGAAAGGATGAGCACTCAGGTAGGCAGCCACAGTGGAAATCCTCAGGCAGTTGGATTCACGTGTTCCTAGAGTGGAGGAGGGGAATATGATCTTGTCAAACAAAAATAAACTTGAGAGATTTAGGGAAGAGAGATCCATGGGAATCTATGGAGTCTAAAACAGTTGTCTTTATTCAGGGTTCTTTCATCTCCAAGGAGTCTCTGTGGGTCTATTTTTTTCTGGATAAGGATGATTTGACTAATAGCATTCCTGTACACAGGTATACTCTGAACTGCACTATTTTTTCTTTAAGAATTATTTTTTATTTAACTTTATATTTCTATTTATTTATCTTTAATTTGACCAAAGAGAGACAGAGTGAGAGTAAGTGAGAAAGAGAGAAAGCAAGCCTCCAGGTGGGGACTCAAACTGTGGTCAGCCATGTGGGAGCCCAGATCCCTTAACCACCACGCCACTTGCTGGCCCCTGAATTATACTTTTCTGATATCCTACTCTTACCTCTACCCTCACTTGGACAGTCACTATCAAAGAAACTTGGGCTAAACCTAGTATCAATGTCTTGTTTAATCTTCTGCCTTAAAAAAAAAAAAGAAAGAAAGAATTTAAGTGACTGAGGTGAATATAGTGACCTATCTCAGGTCATACACCTAGTAAATGGCAGAGTCAGGATTTCAATCAGATTGGGTCCAATGGGACTCTGAACATACGCACTATGTCACCATAGGCCATGTCATCAAACGGCCATCTCTGAATACTTCAAGAGAGCAGAAGTGGATCTTATTCCCTCCTGCATTCCTAGAACCTGGGGTATAAAACATGAAGTACATATGTGCTTCTTGTACGGAAAGTGCTTGAGGAGAGTGCAACTGAAGAATAAGTAATGCCAAAGGAGAACATGGAGAGTCTAAACTAATTTTTATCAACAGACCGATTTTTCTCTAAAGGTTACTTAGAATACAACTATAGTAACTTTCGTATCGAAAGAATAACTGAAAAGTATCAATGTTTAAAAATCCCGGGAACCAGCAGTTAGCGTAATGGCTATGTCACTGGACTCCCACGTAGTCGACCGTGGTTCGCGACCTGGACCCGGTGGCTTAAAACTCATGCTGGGCGCGTGTGCGTGTGTGCCCAAGATCCTGAGAGGAGAATGGAGGAGAAGGGATTGCGGCGTGACCATCCCCCCTGGGGGATGATTTCTCGCTTTCTGTCTCTATGTCTCTCTCTGTCTGGTGAGCGCACGCGTCCTATAGTGAAAAATCCCGGGAACCAGCAGTTAGCGTAATGGCTATGTCACTGGACTCCCACGTAGTCGACCGTGGTTCGCGACCTGGACCCGGTGGCTTAAAACTCATGCTGGGCGCGTGTGCGTGTGTGCCCAAGATCCTGAGAGGAGAATGGAGGAGAAGGGATTGCGGCGTGACCATCCCCCCTGGGGGATGATTTCTCGCTTTCTGTCTCTATGTCTCTCTCTGTCTGGTGAGCGCACGCGTCCTATAGTGAAAATCTCTCCAAAAAAAAAAAAAAAGGTTAAAAATCTCAACGCCAACTTAGTCCCAATTCTAGTGCTACTATTTGGCATGCAATAAAAATGTCTTTTGTCAAGATTTTTCTCCATATTTGACATTATTAATAATTTTTTTTTAAAAAAAAACAAGAATTAAAAACTAAGTCAATATAGTATAACTATTTACATAGTATTTACATTGTATCAGGTATTATAAGTAAAGATGATTTAAGATATATAGGAGGAGATATATAAGTTAAATGCAAATACTATGCTTCTTTTTAAAGTATATTTATTTATTGAGAGAGAGAGAAAGACAAACACTTCCAATAGGCTCTCCAGCTGCTACACCCTCCACCCCAGCTTTTCTCAAC